CTGTTTCGTTAACCATGGTCAACCGTGCACGGTTAGCTGATGTCCACGAACTTGGTTTTTGCCTCTAACCTCAAATTTCGGCCAAAAAAGTCAAAATTAAACGGTCGTGCGATGATCGCTAAGTTACGTGTAACGCAGACAACGCGTTGATTCACAAGGTCTCTAATGATGACGAACTAAGTATTACTTCCCTTCCTCGGAGTTTGATTGGTCGAACTTCTGAACTTTCAGTAATAGGTACCTATTATATACTCAACCTTTGAGATGGTTCTCGTCTTCGCACGTTATTGTATATTTATTAGGGTGTGCTTTTTAAGGCACACGATTTCTGAACATAACAACTCGCGATACTAAACCGTATTTCATATCAATAATAATAATAATAATAATAATAACAATAATATGATCCACGTCGATTATTGCGCATACCTACATCGGCTACATCACATGCACGTACGCAGTCTGATTATATCTAATTATTTCTAGTCTGATCGTCAAAAAAAAGCCTATGACATTATATTGCTAAACGACCGTTAAAGTGGCGTGGAACTTGTTAGACCTACAGACTGTCGGTGGTAGAAACCATTCCTTTAAAGTTTAAACCCATAGAAATTAAATATTATAGTGGTACATTTATTGTTCAAATATAATATAGTTAAGGTATAATGCTGGAAACTAATACAAATTGTATAAACAATATCATCGCGCTTATACAGTATATAAAGTGTATTTAAAATTTAACTCTTTGAGCTTTAATTTGAGCAAACTCGACAACAGTTTTATTTTTATTCAATGATAAAAGCCATAAGATCCTCCAACTTGGACACACCTTTGATACCACTGGACCGTTATGCCTTTGACAAATCCTCTCACACCGCTACACACGCTTACATAATATTAAACTTGTACATCCGATATCGTTCTCGCTCGACGTTTAGCTAATGGTATGATATAGTAAATTTATAAAGTCACGTGCATAAAGCGCTCAAAGGTTGGCTCGTATTTCCTAGTGCTGCAAAGTGTATACCATATAATATTATTCCCATTGCCTTTCCGCATCGTATATAGTCTATAATAATATTTTCGTTTTTGTACATTTCGTGTTGTTTTATAATATACAATTTATACAGATATATAAGATATAATAATATACATTACATTATTATATATCTTGTATATTTGTGTACGAATTTTAACCAGGACACGTGTCAGTCTTAAAACTCTGAGACACGACGATAACGATATCGTGCCACGTATAATCCAATTTAAATCGAAGAACGGGGATAGCGTTATTTCATTCAATTTAAGACCCGTTTTCTCGTCGGAAAAACCAGTAATATTTTATGCATTGATTGATGTCCAACTATGCAGCGAATTGCTGCACGAAATGTCATTATTATCATTGTTATACGATACTAACGTGTGTACATATTAGCCAACTATTATTATAAACTGCTACTACATGTTTACATGTATAATATAATATTATGTAATGCCTAATGTAGGTGTATTACAAGTTATGTGTACAATACTGCAATTATTGTGGTTCAACAAAGGTTACTTAAATATGGTATACTGATATTGATGATCGATTGTTATTTTCGACGTGTCAGCCTTAAACGGTTGGTAAACGATACATAATAATATTATATGATGTTCCACGAGGTATGCGATTCGCGCGTTTGTCTTATAATAATATAAAATACACGAAAGTGCAAAGTAGATTGTCGAATGATGGTAGTTTAATTTTGATTAACAAGTGGTCAAACCGAATGAATTGAGTAGGTAGGTAAGTTTATTATTTTAACGTTACAGAAATCTATTAGGTACCTATATAAAAAACAATATGCACATGTAAAGTATGTATGTATACGTCATATATGCAGTGATTATATTGACAAGAGAGCTACGCAAAATGCAATAAATAAATGCTTTGCACCCTCACAATTAATTTGAGTATCTGATGATGGGTTTATTCGGGTGTTCAAACACAGAAATCAAAAATCCAAACAAACGTTTGGGTGTCCATAACCGTTAATATTTCGTTTAATATGGGTTAGTACAGTTGTTAAGTCAGATTAGGTCAGGACAAACTTATTTTGAAAATCATGTGGGTACCAAATTTTTTAGATTATACTATTATGGGGTGTTCTTTAATTTCATAAAATATCACTGATTGACGATTATGTAGGTACTACTGAAAGAATGGATGAAACGAAGCGTAATATTATATAAATGTTAAAATGTGTTGATAATAACGAGAAAATAATATACTATTTAATGACTACTACCATTATAACTGCTTGAAAAATTATTCCTGTTAATAATTATTATCAAGCAACTAATTACAAAATCGATGCATACAAAATTCTCACATGTAATTTGTAATACTTATACGGATCTTGGTTAATTCGGGTGTCTTTAAATTAATCATTCCGGTTAATATATGGATTTAGGGGGTTGGATTTCTTAAAGGGTTTTAGGGGTGTTAAGAATAAATTTCCTGTTTATTCGGGTACCCACCTAACCTTTGAGAAAGGGATTAAAGAGACAATTTTCTCTGGAGTTTTCAGAAAAACAATATTTGTTTAAAATATTGTTTGCGACACTTGATACTCCAAAATACTTCATAAGCAAAAGTTTCAAACATTTTTAGTTATAGCCTATAGGCTTATCGAAACTTCAAAACTTTGACGTTGAAGACATTTTAAGTAAATAAAATAATGGATGACTAAAAATGTTGTTATTCTGCATTATTTCGAACGTTTCTTTTTTTAGTTCTTGAATTGTTATGCTCTAAACCGTTTGCTCAGTTTTTAACATTAGGACAGGTTTTTTTCTTTGGTACCACTACCCATGCGTTTTTATATGAATTGGTTTGTCCGAGAGTTAAAATCTGAAATTATGGGATTTCAGTTTCGCTGGATTGTAAGTAAACATAATATTATACAATACTCCGATATAAGGCATTATATTTTTACTCGAACAAATGTTTTATTGTGTATAGGAGTGTATATTATTTTTTTTTACTCTTATGCTTATCTCCAAAGTTAAGGTACATTTCTAAAACTAATATCTGAGTAAATTAATTTTAAAATCTTATTTTCAAAAATGTCCATCGTTATAGGTAGTTGCCTTGGAAACGGTGTCTTTAAAGATTTTTGAACTTTGTACTATCGATTACTACGGAATATGAGAACGAAGAACTTTTTTTATAACAAACATCAAAGGGAAAATGATTTATGTACAATAACAATGTATGAATACGATACTCATTGTTAGGTAACTGAAATATTCATACTTTATTCAACGTCTGCATAAAAAGTTTAATATTTTAACGAAATAGGTATTTCAACTCCATATGTCTCCAACTCCATGTGATTATTGATTTTATGGGTAGTTTTGTAGTGATATATTTTTAAGTACAGTAGTATACATTTTTAATTTAAAATAGCACAATATATTATATATAGATACCCACACTTTTAATTAAAGTTGTAACGCTGATTCGATGTTCAACGTTATCAACAGATTGACTAGTAATATGAATTCCATACGAATGATTGTTATATATTTATAATCAAACACATTTCAGTTTAAAAAAAAAGCTCAGTAAAAAACCTATTCACCATGCAACTATGAATATTAATCACGTGAGGAAAAGTAACTTTAATGAAAATGGAAATAAATTGTATTTATGTTATTTATGGAATGTGCAAGCGATTGAACATAAAATATTATACACTAGAAATTTCACTGTATCACAATTATAATTTACGAAAATTCAATTTCGAAATGCATACATTCCAAAAAAATAAACCAATGTTAACTAAAAATAAAAAAACCCTTTTTTTCTTATTTGTCAGTCCGTAATATTCGTTATACGTGTAAACAACTACGGACAGGAAATTTCATTTTAAACTTTTAAAGTGCAAACCTGTGTTTTGGCAGTGTTATAGTACAAAAAACTTGCACAAAATGTCATATTTAACTATATGAATGATAGACAAATAATACCTACACTTATTCGCATCTCACTTTTAACGATTATTTTGTACTTATTCGTACTATTTAAATCACTAGTCACCCCTTTACCGCCAGAACTTAGACTTCTTAATTTACATCAGACTTCAACGAAATGTCTATCTATAAGAAATATATGAACTATATTTACAAATCTTGATTCTTCGCTATGTATTTATTCACGAGCACAAATATAATATCAAAAAACAATTGTAGTTAATAAACCGATTACGGTTACCAATAATAGGTCTGAAATTATATTTGGCCAATTTATATATTATAATTTATATAGTTGATAACCTATTAATATATTGATGTAGCCAAACGTTAAGTATAAGATAAGTGTGACGCTGGTGTTTATTGGTTGTGTTTTAAGTTTCCACACGTCAACAAGAAATCGAAATCAAGTACAAACTTTGATAATACCATCGTCGATGGGCTGTTTATGGTGAAAATAATGGCTTGCACAACGTCTCTGACTCAGCAGAAGAGAGTTAAACCAACTCAACGATCTACCCACGTTTTGGGCATTATCGATTATTGTCGTCGGATAGGTGGCGAACGCCGTCATGGTGTTCCAGTCACGCACTTCACTACCTACCATAATATCTAACGTTCTCCGTTCTATTTTCTAAGACTAGAAAATTAAACTAGTGAGCAGTGGTCAAATTAAAGACGTTGCTTGCGGATTTACTCGAACTTTCAGGTAGTGTGGTTTTGAATGTCTCACAGAATATAATATAGTCCGAGAACCAAATCGGAGCGTGCAAACGTAATACAAAAGATAAGTCCACGACCACCTTCATAATATTATTGGCATAACAGGCGCGTTGTTGTACTCGCGGTTCGAGCACGATAAAACAAATTCTTCATTTTAGTAAATAACAATACGTAATATGTATTTTTAGTATCGGTATGTTTTTTATCGATCATATTATATTATTATATACTCAATTCTGTCTGTTTTTTGTTCGCAGCTAGTCGAGAAGCGGCTTACATGTACGCTGTGATCAGCGCCGGCGTGACGTACGCGCTGATGGACGCGTGCAGCAGGGGCAACATATCCATATGCGGATGTGACGCGCACTACCCTAGCGCCCTGGACGACGGACCAGCGGCGGCCGCTTGGAAATGGGGTGGATGCAGCGTGGACTTGGGCTTCGGCATGGGGTTCGCCCGGAAGTTCCTGGACGCCCAGGAATCGGACGCCGGCGATTCTCGGAGTCTGATGAACTTGCACAACAACAAGGCCGGAAGAAAGGTACATACAACAATAACAGTGATAATAATAACAATACAGTTACGTGGGGGTTTTTTTATTACAACTTAACGACGTGTCTCTGGCTGTGGCCTGATTCCTAGGTAATTAACATGACTATATAGTGCACGTTTTCGACCGGATTTAAATATTGTTTCGACTTTTCAATCTAATGCGGTGTGTGTGAGACTTTCTGTTATGCCAAGACACAAGACGATTTACTAAAAAAAAACGGGACGATTCTTTATAATATTATACAGAACGTCCTAGTACATTACGTTGCAACGTTAGAGGAATGTTTTTTTTAATATCATAATATAATGATTTTTAGTCACACGGCGTTCTGTGTAGGCAATTTAGGTACACCAATGTCGTGGATTAGTGTCTCTAGTGTTATGTAAAACACATAGCTTATAATACGGCTATAACATTAAAATGTATTGTATTCTAAAAATCTAAAGTAACTTTACTAACATTTATATAATATAAGTGGGAATGAGAGTACATATTATTATTACAACGTGCACAACAAGAATATTACTCAAATTGGAACGCAATAATAATGTGCACTCAAATGAATAAACTTACCTAATGTTAAAGGTACGCCTGCCTAAATAGAATAAACCACCTTGTATAATTCTGTATATACACATAATATTATATAGGTTATAGGTTATGGATGCCGAATGACACGATTATGAAGACATGACCAATAATAATAATAATGGTATGTTTTTCATACCGCTAGAGCATTATTATTAGTTGACAAGTTAACTTTGACCGTTCCAAGGTATTTGCTATACAAACATTTTAGTTCAAACTATAATAATTGTATACTATATAGTATTATACATGCATTAATTTAAATTAATATATGAGTTAATTTTGAATTGAATACTTACAATTAGGTTAAATAAGTGATATTAAAAAATATGTATATTTACATAATAACAATTTATATTTGCCAAGAATACCTAAATTTTTTTTTATAATTGATGTGGTTACATATTCTTATTATACTTGACAAATAATTCATTCAGATAAATTATAAATTTATACATATAGTGTACATATAGCATTATGAAATTAACGGTTTACCTAACGCGTGATTCGCTATAACTAATTAGTATTTTAAGTATCAAATTTCAACATTTAAAAGTTCAGAGTAAATGTTCCGCAGGTATCGAGTTTTTTTTTTCCATTATATAAAATGTCTACTAACACCACATCCAAAATAAACTTAGCTGAGTTAAAATTATTTATTAACTTTCCCAGTCGTGTACTATAAGGCATATGCCAAGTTGCCAAGGTTATTTTACAATACGACGTTATTATTAACAAGGTAATACTTACGCAAAGGTATAAGCCGCGCACAAAACTCTATTGTTACACTGTACGCGCAATGTGTGCCTATATATTATAATACTATGGTATAATGTATAATAATATATAATATTATAGTACCTACGCACCACGTTTATAATACCATGCTATAATGTATATAATATATAATATTATAGTACTTACCTACTTACTTACTCATCCATCTGTTATAAAGCTTTGTTTTCGTATGTACTTACGATGCTGTTTTTATTTTTAATAAATTAAAAGCGGATCGGGCACAACAGAAGTTTTATTGTTGTTGATAATACATTAGATTGAGAAATAATTCCAATAAAGTACCAGACCTTTGTTTTCGATTTAGTCGAAATTTATTTTAAACTGTCTGGCTCTTCGGTCTTTTTGTTATTCATTCTGAAAATATTTTATGATTCCAACCATTATACGTTACGTATTAGGTACAGGAATTTGTGGAACAGTGAAATGTTTGTTTATTTGAAAATCCGGTGTTACATAATTATGATTTGAATGATTTCATCATAATATGTACCTATATATATATATAGATTTAAATGTTTAATACGCACAGACTAAACTGATAAAAAAAAAAAAAAAACGATTTTATTTTTGTTTTTAATATTTCAGAGATAATAAATTATTTTATGAGCTAAACCAAAAACTCATCATTTTTAAAAACTTATTATTTTTAATAAAACGTAAGCTTTTTTAATACCAAGTTCATTTTTTTTTAATGTTGATGTTATAGATTAAACTTCAAATGAATAGTTTTCGAGTTATTACTTTTTATGTACTAAGAATAATAGTCATCACTTATCAACAATGATTTTACATCATTTTTAAATTAGATGTAACAATATTTATTTAGTTATTATTATACTAGGGCGTTATTAATAAATTATAAAATTTTAATAAATTAACATTGATATTAGTACCTACCTACTATTATTTACAGATTATCATAGTCCTTATATCTTTTAAACTTGTTACTATAGAGTATAGAGCATAAAATATTATACTAGATGATTAAAATCTTCGAGTTCAAATATTACGATTTATATAATTATATATATATAAATATTAGATTAACATTACAATTTTAATAAAACCATCTTGTTAATAATTTACAATAAAATTGAGTTATCATCATTCGAAACAAATTTCGCTTTATTTTTTCCACGGGGCAGACGTTTTAAAGATTTTAAAAATATGGTTCCTAAGTATTTACAGTGTACACATTCAAATTAAAAAAAATCAAAATTAATAATAAATTAATAGTCGAATTAAAAAAAATAGGGGTGAGCAAGCGTGGTGAATCACTCTGCAAATAAGTATAAATATATATTTTAAAATACACCCCGATTCTCTTTACTTATTCAATTATTAAATATAATATTTAATATTCATCAATAATATTTATTAATATTAATATTTATCAATACTAAGAATTTTTAATAACTGTTTATAACTGTACTCTGTGTACTATTTAAATTAAAACATATTATCTTCCTACTATAATATTATAATGAATTAAAAATAATTTTCAAAACTAAATATAAAGTATATTTAAAGTTTGTAATATTTTTATAATTTAAATATAGTTTTTTACTTTGTACATTTTAGTCATTTTATTAAAATTGCTGACATGTTGTAACATAGTAATTTATTTCTAAAATGTATTACATTTTTTTATTTTATTTATGGGATCTTATATTTATTTCATGATTCGCTATATTATTATAAATTATTAATTTTCATATTTGTAAGAGAATAATAATGTTTTATACTATAAAGGCAATGTGACGAGTTGAGAAGTTAATGTACATTTTTTGTTGTAAATTCTTTTTTTTTATTATGTTTATGTATGTTAAACAGATGTACTTGTTTGAGATCCACAGTAAATAGTAATACCTACTCTAATAGGTCCGTATAGGAGTTAGGACTTGTATAAAAAACATAATATATAGTATAATTTTTATGTTGTTTTAATGTTACATTATATTTATAATTTACAATTTAGTCGGCCATACTTAAAATGATTAATCGTCAAATCGTATTATAATAATATTGTTATACGTCAGTCTACGCCCTACGCGGAGAGTGTACATTATACATCAAATATTCACATATTTTGGTCTTCACTCTTCTGACATATATTGTTTGTTCACAGATTGTCAAGATGCTGTTGAACACCGACTGCAAGTGTCACGGGGTGTCAGGGAGTTGTACAATGAAGACGTGTTGGCACAGTCTGCCGCACTTCCGGGAAGTCGGCAAAGCTCTGATGCGAAAGTACCGAAAGGCCCGCAGCGTCCAGGCCGCGGGGGCGGTGGCTGCTGTCGGCGGTGGTAATCCGCAAAGGGCTTCTGGCAAACGGTCGTCAAGACGACTGAGGCTCAGGCTCAGGTCGGCCAGGTCAGCGGCGGCGGGGTCGGCGGACGAGGAGGAGCCGAAGATCACCGAGCTCGTCTACCTGGAACAGTCACCTAACTACTGCGACAGGGACTTTGGCACCGGGTCGCTGGGCACGTACGGCCGTTCCTGTAACCGGACTTCCGATGGTGAGTCTAGGATAATATTATGGAAGACCGTTCGTCTACTTTTTTTTGCTACTTGACAAAACGATTGAGCATGACACTATACGTATATTATTAGGTACATATATATAATATAGTAAGTATACTAATTGGGTACTCACCCGATAGTGAGTTGATTGGCATTGGCGTCGTGCGCGTTGTTTCCATCCGCCACGGCAGTAATGTTTTTCATGATTTTAATAAATCGTACAACGTTTATAATAATATGTCTACTGATGTTTTCTGATTAAATTGTCGGAGCAAACTGATCGGTCTTTCACGAGAGCCGGGCAATATTATTATTTTTATTTTTTGAGTTTCCCCGTCGAGAAAAAGTAAATAATATGATGACTTTGTTCCGTTTTGATTCCGCCGTATACAATACTGTATGTCGTAACTCTATGTGGTTTGACGTGAACAAAGGCTATATAATGTCACTTTTCAGAAGAAATGTACGTTATTTGGAAAACGTCATATTTTGTTTTAGCGGTTTTTACAGTAGTCTGCGTAAGGCATCTGAAAACGTCATGTGACCAACTATTGATATCAATATCGAGATTAGCCATCGCATTTTGACATTCTCACTCATTTTCACTCGTGTACTCGCTATTCTTTTACTGAGCTCAACCCGTCTGTCACCTTATCGACTGTTATGGTATTATTAATATTGTTTTGTATGTATAATCATCTTTTCCGAATTATGTCCATAGGCACGGACGGCTGCGACCTGATGTGTTGCGGACGAGGGTACAACACGCACCAGTTCACCAGGACCAAACAGTGTCGGTGCACATTCTATTGGTGCTGTTACGTCAAATGCGACACGTGCGTGGAAAGGACCGAAGAATACAGTTGTAAATGACGTGCTCATATATGTATTGTGTACATTATAATATATAACATAACTTGTACCTGCTCGTTATGTTGTTAATAAACTTATCATATAATCTTTTTAGTATTGTACGAGAATGTGCCTATAATATTGTATACGAAAATATTTCGAAAACACCATAAACAATATATTATTATAATAATAATAATTTATATATTATTACGATATTTTATAGTTCTATATTTTAACAATAAAATTACCGTTCAAGTTGTGTACAATAATATGTGCCGTGTGGTTGTGTGACTTTTTGAGTAGTTTCTTCTTTCCTCCAACCACCATTTCCGGTGACTACCCGACCGGATGCTACAACGCAGTCAATACTGTGAGGCGCAGATCTTAATAAATTCGTCTACAGTATTAACTAGTTTGAAAGTATAAAATTGAAAGAATTAAAACCGTCAATTTTCTCTCACCTAACACTGGGGCCGTTTAAATAGTTAATAAATTAACTCAAGTCAATTTTGTTCATGTAACATTAACTTGCTTTCCCTAGCTTCGACAACTCTAATAAAATATATACTCTCTGGTTAATTCATTGTAATTGGAAAAAAAAATACTCATGCAATTAGAAAATAAAAATGTAGTTCTGAAATTGAAACTAATTTATTTATTAAGTATAATTAATATTACATTTTTGATTTTTCAATTATTTATATCGTATCCAATATTTTGCAGCCCACAAAGTGACTGTATAAAAAAAAGTCCCTTTCAACAAAACAAATTTCAGAATAAATTAACTCACACAAAATATGAACTTAAATCATTGTCGTTCACTCGTTCATACAATTTGAACTTGTCCATTTCGAGAGCTGGTGAGATATTTTTTAATCCACGAACAATGTATACACATACCACAACCACGGGTCAAGTGCAGGCCGTACTTGATGAACGTCAAAGGACTTCTCTCATCATAATTCTTGTTAAGTATTCGATTGAAAGTATTTAAATACATACATATTTATATGTAATATATTTAAATACTGTTCTAAATACTTTTTAAAATATATATTCAAATACGTATACTAAATCGTTTTTGTTCGCATTATTTATTCTTGTCACCTACATATGTGTAAATTGTAATACAAATAAATAAAAAAATAATTATTCGTTTGATTATATTATAAAAATATAAACTACCAGATGACTGAAAAATAGTATACCCATGTCCAATAAGGTAAATATATAACGTACATTTCGCCAGCCCCCCCAAATTAAATTTTTGAAATTTTTTTTTTACCAAACATTAGTGTGCCATTAGTGTGAATTTGTGTGACTACAACCAGAATTTGTGCGATACTGGTTTAACCGTAAATTAAAAAAATTATATGGGGGGCTGGAGAAATGTTCCCCAGCCCCCCTTCATGGAAAAAATCACATTTTTAAAATTTTTCTTTTGCCAAACATTAGTGCGCCATTAGTGTGAATTTGTGCGACTACAACCAGAATTTGTGCGACACCCGTTGTACTCGGAAAATTCGTTTTTCCTTTTTTGGCATTTTTCTAGTTGTATTTTCTTTTGTTAATTAATTGATTACCTATATTTAAAATTATTAACAAGATTTTTTTTACTAAGTAGACCGTACTATGTTTATTGAATCCATAATGAAAAATTACTGATACAGTGAAATTAGTTGGTAACTTAACTACTTACGTGTGAGTGCAATAATTGCAGTGCATCTATGTATAATGAATAGATAGAAAATTCAACATTACAATAAAAGATGAGTTTAAATATGAAATTTATCTTAGAATGTATATTGTTGTGTTATTAAATTTGGCAACTTTGTACAATGGTGACATCGTTTTTTGTATTTAATACGCGCAAGATAAACCAATAAGGTTCGTATTAACACAATCGTAATCTACCCGCCGCGCTTACTCCACATGGTTGAATCACTTTTCTAAAAATTACTAATTAGATATACAGTACCTATGTCCTATGGTCACTGAAAAAAGGAAATTTCGGTAGCCTGGGTACCAGGATGGTATAGTTTATATTTTATATAATATAACTATAATTTATTATTATTTTACGTCATTTGCACATACATAATTTTAGGTACCTACTGATAGTGTATGGTAGTGTAGATTGCAGACCATTTGAGGTACCTATACTGATCTGTCGACATATTTATATTATTATGATTACACTCAGATAATCACCAAACAACTGTAGAAAACGAATATTAAAATGACCAAATATTGTACTGACTAAATAACTCCTTTATATTATTTTTGTATTGGTACTTATATTAGCAAGTTAGTTTTTGTTATTAATAACGTGCGTAAATATATACGGTAAAACGTCAAAGAAAAATTATTTTGTAGTATTTAAAATATATTTGTTAAAAAGCATTTGAGAAGTATTTGAAAAGCCAAAAACGTATTAAAATAATAGTATTTAAAATTTAAATACAAGTGTAAATACAAATTTAAATACATGTGTGATGTAATTTATTTTAAATTACTTATACCGTTATAAAATATTTTTTTATTAACTGTATAATATATTAAACACTTAACAATAAACTATTGGGCATACCATTGTTTGTAACAATTGTTATTTAAAAATATAATAAAATAATTTTGCATTTTTCCACAATACAAACCTAGACCGTAAATTGTAAAATTCGTGTCAATATAATTGTATTAATTTTTTATGTATATTAATATCGGTTTTATTTAAACATTAAGTTAATTAAGTCTAAATACCTATGTAGTTGAAGCCTTTCACCAAATATATAAAGAAAAAAAGGTGGGCAAGTGGGTGTCGCTCTGCTGTACAGTAGGTTACAAGTGGGTCACTGTATAATGGATGATATTAAATTTGAATTCAACGATATAATATCATTGTATAAGAAAAACGATTCTGAGCGGAGACGGTATGTCAGTCTATGTATAGGACATATTATATACATATCTATGGTATTAAACAAAAAATTGACCTATAATAGGTACCTATAATAAATTCCAAATTAATCATATCACAATATCCATTAGATACTTATAACGCGTTATACATCAACAAAAACCGTTTGACTATCATAGATATATAATAGTACACTTTACTAGTTTCAAGTACCCACGAATAATATTATTCAATCACAAAAAAATAACTAAAATAGTTATTCTAGGTTTTTTAATATGTAATTTCGTCCAAATTTGAATTTAAAATGTCTGTAAAAAATAATTGTGTTCATATATTTTTTAGATTTTTTGGTTACAGTATGAACTATTTATGAGAACCTTTGTGTTGAATTTGCAATCCTTAGCTATAAAAACTGAACATTTTATAATTTATTAATTACAATGATTGATAATTTTGTCAAAATTTGATCTTTAAATGCTTATAAAAAAAAACTGTGCCTATGTATTTTTAATATTTTTCAACTGCTATTGTAACAATATATCAGGAACCTTGTATTAAATTTTTACACTTTTTGGCCCAACAGATAAAACTTTATTGATATTTATAGAAAAAAAAACTAAAAAAAACTAAAAAAAACTAAAAAAAATTGAAAGCTGTAAATGTCCATAAACAGCTCAAAAAAAGTCAAAATATTTTCAAAATTGTATGGTATATAGAAAATGCTAATTTAAACATTCAGTGAAATTTTCATGTATCTACAGTTGTTCGTTTTTTAATTGCAACAAAATAAGGAAATCGCTACATGAGTAATCGAGTGAATTTTCAATGTTGTAAAAATTTGAATTTCAAATGCTCATAAAAATTTAATTTGACTGTCCGGTAGAGATTTTTTTATTGATAAATATAGATAATCTTATAAGGAATCTTGTGTTTAATTTTCAAATCTTAGATTTAAAAAGAAAAATTTTTACGAATTCTTAACTCAAAATAATTTGATAACTTTCGTGATTTTTCCATATTTTGTCAATTTTTGAACTTTAAATGCTTATAAAAAAAAATTGTGACTAAGGATTTTTAATATTTTTCATCTGCCTTTGAAACAATATATTAGGAGCCTTCTATTAAATTTTCAAGCTTTTGCAACCAACAAATAAAATTTTATTGATATTTTTAGAAAAAAAACTAAAAAAAAATGGAAAATGAAAATGTCCCTAAACAGTTCAAAATAAATCAAAATATTTTGAAAATGTTATCGTGTATAGAAAATGCAAATATAAACAACCAGTGAAAATTTCATGTATAAATTTCCCGTTTTTCCTTAATTTTTATGTTGTTTTTCCCGGCGCTTGTGAAAACTACTGGGAAATTTATACTTTTAACCCCCCCCAAAGTACCAACTAGATTCACTTTCCTATCAGAAAAGCTACTGATGAAGAAAATCCAAGCACTTTTACTGTCCTAAAACGTGATGACAGACACAAAAAAAAATTAAAAATTAAAAAATAAAAAAAAAACACACATCATTGTAAAATCAATACATTCATCGTTTCACTTAGAATCTAAAAATAATAATAGGTAAATAAAATAATTAAAGATTTAAATTTCTTTTTATACGTTTAGACTTTAGATGCTTCATCAGAGTTGATGTTGCGCATTTTATTAAATTATATGCACAGTGGATACCTCTAAAAACAATATCAAGCCGTGCTAAGGAAGTTATTTTAAGAACAATTGGACAAATAATAAAATACCAACATTTTAAAGATTTGGAACACATTGTACTATCCCTTTTTGTAGTTTTATTAAACGAAACAGATGGATATGTCACAAGTACAAATATGGAAACTCATGTGAAAAACATAAAAAAAAATTGATTCATCAAGCAGGTAAATTACATTTATTCAACTGATAATGACTTAATTTACTCACACATTTTTATATTGTAGGTCCCATTGACAGTCAACTCGAATCAATTATAATTAATGACGATGTAATTTTTTCCATGAGGGGGGGGCTGGGGAAATGTCAAAAAAGGAACATTCTAAGATAAATTTCATATTTAAACTCATCTTTTATTGTAATGTTGAATTTTCTATCTATT